GACATATCTATATAGATATTTGCACTTTTCAATCTACCAAGAGTCAAAATAAGATAAGACACAGTGCTTTTACTGAAAGTTTAGTACATAAAAGACTGCCCACAAAAAATGTAACTTTTTGCTATTGTTTATGGCATAACTCAATAATTATAGCAGCTACACAAAAAATGATTGCATATTTGAAATCTGCATGAAAAACTATACTAATAACAAACTTTTCAAGTCTCTATTACTAGAAATAAAAAAAAAACTTTTTCGAGGAGCGTCTCCCCTTAACATGTTCTTCTGTGGACGCTAAGCACAAAAAATTAGATTGCGACGTCTAGAAGTAGACGTGAAAGACATTGTTGCGGCTCGCGTGCAGTTAATAGAAAAAATTGCTTTAATAACGTGCCGTGCAAACTCTTCAAACGAGCTACCAGCAGCGTTCCTGGGATAGACCACGCTTTCCAATGAATCGCTGCCACAGTTTCACGCTACCATAGGACTAGACGTCCCAAGCTCGTGCAGAGAACGCGTTTCGCCATTAAGCGAACTCGCACAACAGAAGTTGCGTGGGCACCAAACATAGCATCGTTGATTACTTAAAACGCCCGTGCGACTGCTGTTTATTCAGGAAAATAATTCTAGGTAGATGATTGCGACTTTGGTAGCCCCAAGAACAAGTTACACATGCTATGACGTGCCGGCGTCATAGCATGTGTAACTTGTTCTTGGGGCCACCATAGAGGCTCCCAAATCCGACTTTGGCACCGTTTGGTTCAATTTCCTTTGATATTATCAGGATGGTGCAGTAAATCTGATTTGGCACACTTTGGCGCAGGAGTGGAATCACTGATATAGCCAAAACATTCCACACTTCAGTGAATAGGTGAATAATGACTGTGTGGATTGTGTGGCCCGTGACCGGGCGAAAAGGGAACGGCAGTTCTGCTCTGCGGTACGCCTGGAAGGCGAAAACGAGGAAAAGGAAGCGCGAGCGGGGCGTGCGGCTCGAGGAGTTGGAGCGTGACAGAGTTCGAACGGCAGCTGCTGGTCGGCAGTTCGGGTCGCGACATCGCTTAACCAGGCGTCCGGCAGCCTTGCGGACCTGGTGAGCTGGCTTCCTGCTTCGGGCTGCGTCACTCAACCAGGTGTCCGGCAGCCTTGCGGACCTGGTGAGCTGGCTTCCCGCTCAGTGGCCGGCGCTGACACGGGGACCAGCAGCATAGTCTGTTCGTGGCCTGAGGTCCTGGGGCCCGAGTGGTGGCACGAGGTGGCCACGGCTCATGTTGGCGACGGGCCATTAACCTGCACTGCAGTGGCCTGGTGATCTACCGGCCTGCAGCACCACCATCACCACCACCACCACCTCACCACGGTCAAGGCAGCGTGACTGCACAAGGAACACCGGTGACGACCGACCTCGCTGCAGCAGCAACCGTCATAACGGCGAGTAGGACAGTTCGTGTGCCGAGGCACGTAGGACGTTTGGCATGTAAATAAGGAACGCTATAGTGTGTTGTGTGTGAATTGGAAGAGTTATCGGTTGTGTTAAAGTCTGTGTTGTGTGTACAGAGTCACCTGACTGCCGGTTGATTTATTCCGGATCCTGGGCCCACATTACACCATAACAAACTTGGCGAGCCTGCCAGGATCCCGCCAGTAACATCTCGAACGCGGAAATCGCCGGTCAGGTGTGTGCACGCAGCACAAGACGAGAGACATGGATCTCGATAAGTTAGCGGCTGTAGCAGCTCAGTTAGGCTTGTCTGGCGCGGAACTTCGCGAATGGATTGAGCGAGAGCAAGTTAGGCAGAGACATGAGCGCGCAGCTGAGAGAGAAGAGGCCAAAGAAGCAGCCGAGAGACAACGGTTAGCGGACGAGAGGCAACGGTTAGCAGACGAGAGGCAGCTGCAAATTCTCCAACTTAAGCTCCAGCTTCAGGAAAGTGCTCAAAGGCAGCCATCTGCGGCGGCAGCACTCACCCCATCGGCAAACCCGTCATGCCTGAATCCGCAGAAGTTAATACCGCTATTTGACGAGCGACGCGATGACCTGCACGCGTATTTGCAGAGGTTTGAACGCGTGGCTACTGGGCAAGAATGGCCAAGAGATAAATGGGGAGTAGCCGTAAGCATGTGCTTAACTGGTGAGGCACTCACTGTCATTGGTCGAATGACTGCTGACGAGGCCCTCGACTATGATAAAGTGAAAAAAGCCCTACTTCAGCGCTTCAGATTCACGGCACAAGGATATAAAGACAAATTTCGGAAAGCCCGGCCTGAAGATGGCGAAACAGGGAAACAACTAGCAGCAAGGATCTCGAGCTATTTTGATAACTGGATTGAGATGGCTGATGTGCCCAAAACATTTGAGGGTCTTCGTGACCATGTTATAGCCGAGCAATTCTTGCGTTGCTGTAATCCGAAGCTGGCCATCTTCCTGAAATAGAGAGAATGCAAAACCCTTACATCCCTTTCAGAGTGCACCGACCGCTTTCTCGAAGCACAGGGAGTCAATAACATTGGTAAAATTGCAGATGATACAAAGGAGGCAAATAAACCCGGTGCTATGTCACAGTACAAACAGCCGAGTTGCTTTTTGTGTCACCGCAAAGGACATAGCACTCCGGATTGTCGTGCGGTTCCGAAAGAGTCTGTGAAATGCAAAACATGTGGGCGGCTTGGCCACAAAGCCACCGATTGCAAGGATCAGAGCAAAGACAAGTCGGTGTCTTGTGCCATGATAGAACAGAAAAAACAGGATTACTTCCCTATGGCCAAGTCCAAGGATGAGACATGCGCTGCTGAATGCCCCAAGAAGTGCGTGAACCAACCTATGTTCTTAGTCGACAACATGCCAGTGGTCGAAGGACGGGTGCTTGGACAACGCGCACTTGTCTTACGAGACACAGGGAGCAACACGACCATCGTCTGACGCGAGTTCGTGCCGGATCGATGCCTGACCGGGAAGACGGCAAGAGTTATGCCTTTGGATGGAAAGGCCAAGGAACTACCGGAAGCAAACATACAGATACACACGCCCTACTTCGTTGGTGATGTAAACGCTTTATGCATGACTAACCCTTTGTATGACCTCATGCTCGGCAATATTCCAGGAGTAAAAGGACCACAGGAGCCAGATACTAGCTGGGAGTACTCTGACGCCCTGTTCCCTGAATCGACTGGTTCGAGCAAAATCCCGGCATGCTGGGAAAAGTCAACCTTGCTTTCTGCCGTCGTCCGGACGCAGGGGAAGACGGAGAGTATGATGAAGATTTCGCTAGTTGGTTCGCTAGAAGTGACCCGAGTGCAGCTAACTGAGAGCCAAAAAGACGACCCAAGTCTGAAGAGTTGCTTCAGCAAGATTGGGAAGGAGTTTCACTCCAATAAAGACCACTTTTCTGAAGAGGCTGGTCTACTGTATCGACATTACCGCCTTTCTACGGGGAGGACCTTTAAGCAAGTAGTCGTGCCAAGGACACTTCGACAACACATTTTGAAGGTTGCACACGAGGGCATTATGGCTAATCACCAAGGCGTGCGACGTACCACAGACCGTATCCTTGGGGATTTTTACTGGCCAGGTATGCATGAAGAAATCAGACGGTTTGTAAAGTCGTGCGACGTCTGCCAGAGGAAAACGCTGGACAAAATCCTAGCCGCCAAGCGCCCCACGACGAAGAAAGCTGTACAATCCTTTCTCGGTCTTACGGGCTATTACAGGCAGTTCATTCCGAACTACGCAGAGATTTCCAAGCCCTTGACTGACCTTACCAAGAAAGGCCAACATCACATCGTATCGTGGGGACCGACGCAAGAAAAAGCATTCACCGTGCTGAAAGACAAGCTCGCCGCAAGTCCCATACTGCAAACACCGGATCTTTCGAAGCCTTTCGTGCTCCGTACTGATGCCTCAAGCACAAGCATCGGCGCAGTGCTTCTGCAAAACAGTGGGGACGATATTTTACATCCGGTTTGCTTATGCTAGTCGCAATCTGCTGCCTAGAGAGGCCCGCTATTCCACAATAGAGCGTGAATGCTTAGCGCTCGTGTGGGCTGTTCAGAAGTTCCACATTTACTTATGCGGCAAACCCTTCATTATTCAGTGCGACCACCAGCCACTCCGGTACTTGCAGTCAGCCAAACACGTCAATAATCGAGTGTTACGATGGAGCTTACTAATGCAAGAGTACAGCTTTACCGTAGAATACATAAAAGGCTCAGACACTGTAGGAGCGGACTACTTAAGTCGCATCTGAATTGCTCTAATCTTTCTCCACTTGTGTATTTTTCATGTGTTTTTTTTTTTCATTACGTGCTGTGTGGATCACAACCATTCGGATTCGTGTGAACTTGTTCCCTCTTTACAAACGCGCCTGCACTTTTTGCCTACTCACCGCCTGGCGGGGAGTGGAATAGTTGCTCACAACTATCTTAAGTGGGGGTGGTGTGAAAGAGGTTAATGACCCGTCGCCAACATGAGCCGCGGCCACCTCGTGCCACCACTCGGGCTCCAGGGCCTCAGGCCACGAACAGACTATGCTGCTGGTCCCCGTGTTAGCGCCGGCCACAGAGCGGGAAGCCAGCTCACCAGGTCCGCAAGGCTGCCGGACACCTGGTTGAGTGACGCAGCCCGAAGCAGGAAGCCAGCTCACCAGGTCCGCAAGGCTGCCGGACGCTTGGTTAAGCGATGTCGCGACCCGAACCGCCGCCCAGTAGCTGCCGTTCGAACTCTGTCACGCTCCAACTCCTCGAGCCGCATGCCCCGCTCGCGCTTCCTTTTCCTCGTCTTCGCCTTCCAGGCGTACCGCAGAGCAGAACTGCCGTTCCCTCTTCGCCCCGTCACGGGCCACACAATCCACATCATCACAATGACAGTCAACAAATAAGCTTTGATTTGCTGCGTTGCTATGCACAAGAAATGTTAGATGCCGTGACACAACCTGGTAACTACTAAAATCAAGATGTAGTCACACAAATTATTAACAGCATCTCCACAAGGAAGTGGTTCTCACCCCATCATGAAACATGGACTTCCACGTGTGCTCAAGCTTTTTCTTGAGCCGGTAGCTTTGCAATATGTCGATGACTCCAATGAACAAGAGTAGTCGCTCTCCTTTGGAGTTCCTCGCTGGGATGCCACCGGTTCTATAAAGAGGTAAGGAGAAAATAGGCTAGTCTCTCAGACTTAAGCAAACAGTGTAAACTATGCATTAAAGGGGTTGTGGAAAAGACAATTTGGCACCATTGGCAGCCACCCTGCTAGCTAGGCCACATCAGCTCGAGTAGGCCTGCATGGACGCTTTGCCTTTTGACGAACACGGAACTCCACAGCATCTGTGCGCGCAAGGGACATTCATCGGTGTCTTTGTTATACGTGATCCGCATCTCACAAGAGCGCTGCTTGATATCGCGTAAGCTGCAGAATTCAAGTTGGCACGGATTGTGTATGACAAAGACGCCGATGGGTGTTCCAAACTTGCGCACTCTTGAAGGGGCCCTGAAACGCTTTTTTAAGTAACCCCGAAATGAATTCACTGGAAAACCTTATTGCCTCAGGAATTCAACGCCACAAAAATTTTAAGAATCCGTACAGTGCGAGTGAAGTTGCAAAGGTTTGTCGCATGCCGCAGTTGCGTTCTCTCTTCTCTCGTCCCGATGAAAGTGCTGGAAGCTAAGCAGGGAGGGATGGCAGGGCCACAGAAAAACGTCCCACGTGCCTCGTGACCTAGAGCACTTTATTTCTTTTTTTTTCTTCAAATGCACCGCTTTTTCAGGGTGATCGTGCGCGCACGCATGAACAAGTAGCGGCTCCCGCGGCGATCTCTGTAACGAGCGAGCACGCCATGTTCAAATCAGCCAATGGCTGATAGATGGATCATTCCTATGTTTTTGGGGCATATTCCGTGATTGGTCAAGAGAAGAGAAAGCAATTTTTAGCCGACTTTAACAATTTATTGTGAATTCCAGGTCGCGTGCTGTGCTCTGACATTTGGCTCGCATGTTTTCGTGAGCCTCTACTATTGATTGGCAGCGTTTTATGACCATGCTCAAAAAGCGTTGCGGGGCCCCTTTAAGTACAGTTGAGTTCCGCATTCCTCGATAGGCAAAGTCCATGCAGGTCTACTCTACTTATGCTGACGTTACCTAATTAGTGCGTCTCGATGCTGATGGTTCCGCATCGTCAATTTAGAAGCGGCCTCTTCATGAATCTACAGTAGCCATGACAATTTAGAAGGGTTTTAGCCCAAAAGTGGGTAAAACATTCAAAAAGCAGCCTTGTAATGAAAATTATCTCCCAACACCCCCAACAAGAACAGTAGCAACAAAAAACTCATATATGAGAAGACTATCATAAACGATTTTAAGTCTTTGGTAATGCAGGGCTTTCATGTCAGTGTCTGCAGGGTCTCAAACCAACAAAAAATAAAGATAAGGTGGACTTACGGAACATCCTCGTCATGATCAATGGGCTCTACATCAGCCTGGATTGATTCCATGGCAGTGGAGAAGTTCGCCAGCCGTTGCCGGTTTACGGACTTACTCCGCGTCAGCCCAGATCCTGTGACCAGTTTAGAAAAATTTCATCAACCTCATGCTCTTGCATGCCCGTGCTAAGAATTGTTCCTCAAAATTTCTATGACTCAAATTTTCCCCTGTCAACTAATTATGTTTCTGTTTGAGGTGCTTATATGTGACCAGTTTCACTTTCAATGGACCTGGATATAGCCTGGCCATCAGCTGAAGTAGACAATTTTTCGGCCAATCTTGTCTACGCAGTTTACGTAAAACCCAGTCTCTTTTGCTACTAGCGTTGCATGCTTGAAGCTGTGAACTAGCATGCTACTCGCATTTCCAGTCAAGCGCAAAATGCGCGCATATGTTCTTCCGGAACAACACATCGGCAGCACGTTTTCTGCAGAGGTATTTCCCTTCCATGACACCGTGTCGGCTAAAAAAAGAGTTTTTAGGCCAACCATGCAAGCGGCTCAATACTAGCCAAGAGCATTAGTTGCCAATGAATAATGACAGCACACCTCACTGTATTTCTTCTCACATCAATCCATATTTTTTTATCACATCAATTTCATGCCTGCATGGGTCAGAAAAGACCAACAATACTGAATAAATAAATGAAATTATAAGCTGTTTTTCAGTGTCTAGCTCACAAAAAACATGATCAGATCAAGCCATCTCGCATGAAATGCAGCGGTGGTCAGATGTGGGCACAACATTAAACCTATGAAACATTTGAAACCTATGAAACATAATGGTTGTCGGTTGTCACCAAAGATTAAAAATGAATTCTCCTACAGACTGCTATGGGAAGGAGAGGGAAAAAAACCCAGATGCTAACTGTTTTTGGCAGTGGTGACACACTCAGGCAATGGGGCTAGAACTGGCCCACCTACTCTTGTGCACAAAAATGCCACATCCTGGAAATCAACACGACCAAACAACGGTAAACAGCGAGGCGCTGCACGTTATACAGTGGACTCCTATTAAACAAATCTCGCTTAAACAGAAAAGTCGCATAAATGAAACTATCTAAGCACATTTGGTTGTTCTCCTATATATTATGATAAAAAGTTTGGGTAATTAGAACATTTTTTTTGCTGATATTAAATGAAACTAAAACGCGCAAAATTCATGAACGGCGGAAGTGGCCACAGCCGTCTAGCAACCACGAAACAAATGCCGAAGCTAGCCTAGCCAACATGCTAGCCAAGCCAATCCAACGATTGCACATGTCTGCGCACGCCGAGAAGCAAACGATCCACCTCGTTTCAATCTCTTTGCTTCCATCTCGTTGTAAACTTGAGATGGAAAAAAAAAAGGCAACACAATGCACTTTTGCTCGCAACGAAAGTAATAATCATTCAAAAACTTGACTGCAATGATCTATCAAAGACAGAAATTGTGAAGAAGTTCGATATTCCTAAGTCCACACTGTTGAGGATACTCATGAACAAAGGGAAGATTGAAGAAGCTTCAAAGTTTGGGAACTTCGCCACGAACAGAATGCATATGGTAATGGCAGCGCACAAAAAATTTGAAGATGCTTTTTTTCTCCGATTCAAGCATGCGTGCAGTGCGAACTTCTCGATCAGCGGACCCAATTTCGAAGAGAAGGCCAAAGAGATTTGTACTCGCATGGGGATCGAGCACTTGTGGCTGAGCGATGGCTGTCTGAGCTGTTTTAATAAGCGGCATGGTCTTGTCTTTAAGATAGTTTCTGGAGAAAGTGCGGCTGTAAACAGAGATATCTATAAGCAATATTAGCAACATTTTTTTTTCTAATCAACTATATAAGTATTGTATACTTTAAAATGTTTTTGTTCAGTCAGCCACAGTTGGTACTTTTGAAATAAAGTCATATTTCATTCGTTTTGTGCGCTTTGCTTAAATGGAACTTCTCATAAATGGAAGAAATTTCTTTCCCCTTTGAGTTCCATTTAAGTCCACAGTACATGGTTGTACAATTTCTACATAAAAACATTTATCTTACCGTAATTACTCGAATCTAACACGCACCTTTTTTCCGGTTAAGCGAGTTCATAAATCGCATGCGCGTTAGAATCGAGTACGAAAAAAAAAATTACGGTCAATCTATTGCCATCGCAAATCCAAAATGGCCGCCCCCTACGTGCGTCGGCATGGAGCGTCGGCTATTTCTGCCTATGTGTTTACCATGTGTGGCACTTCGTACGTGTGCTGAGGAGTTCGTCATCTAGTAGTGCATTAGCATCGACGACGTGGAAATGCCGACTCCAAAAACTCGAGTGCACCACGATGCCGTTTTAAAAGAAAAATCATCGCGTGTGCAGAAACGGACGGAAATCGGGCCGCATCACGGTCGTTCCCCAAACGTGCGTGCGGGACCGGCGGAAACAAAAGCAGAAGATTGTCGACAGCAAAGCTTCACGCAAAGGCTTCAGTGAACCACAGCAGGGTCGGTTTCCGCAAATTGAAGAGCTGCTCCGCGAGTATGTGCTTGAGGAGCGAGCGGCACAGCGGCCCGTGACGACAGAACTGCTCCAAGTGCGGGCTATGCAATTAGTCTTAGAAAAAAGTCTAATGCGGAGCCAGTTTAAAGCGAGCAGGTGCTGGCTAATTAACTATATGAAGAGGAAAGGCTCTTCCCTCCGAAGGGGAACATGCATATGAGAAAACTTTTGCGGAGAAGTACGATGAAAAGCTTTACAGTTTTCACAGGTTCGTCCTAAACTTGCGGCGCAACAACGACTACCTGCTTGGGCAAATCTGGAATGCCGATCAGACGCCTCTTTACTTCGACATGCCTGGCACCACAACTGTCGAGAAGAAGGGGGCGAAGCAAGTTCGCGTGCTGACATCGGTCCACGGTAAAACTACAGTGACGGCAATGCTCTGTTACACGTCAGATGGGCACAAGCTTCGCCCGTACCTCATAATTAAATGGAAGACGCTCCCGAAAGGAGTAGTTTTTTCGACTAGTGTGATCGTGCGGGCCAGCGAGAAAAATGGGTGCGCGTTGCAATCGATGTCTTACGTTTTTTTTTTTTTCGCGGTGGAAATCGAGTGCGCGTTACAATCGAGGGCGCGGTAGATTCGAGTAAATACGGTACTTCAATTTCAATGTTTTTAGGGTTTATGCAATAGCCTTTCGATCAGAAAGCAGCATGTGCCATATGACAACAACACGGCAATGATGATGTTGGATAGAACCAACTTTGGATATAAAGACCTTTCTTGCCAGGTCATTAGGGCTCACTTGAATGAGCATTGGCTGTACACTATTTTTGAAGTATGCTATGGGCCAGACAATTTCATACATACAAATAAAAGCCAAGTCCTAACAACAATATGTGGGGTTTAACGTCCCAAAATCACCATATCATTGTGAGAGATGCCGTAGTGGAGGGCTCCGCAGATTTCAACCCACCTGGGGTTCAATTCAATTTCAATTTTTATTTTTCCAATTTTTACATGCTGGATGGTTCTGTTGGGTTAAAAGCTACTAAGTAGCTTGACGAGACCGAACGACCAGACTATACTAAATTATACAAAAACAGGGCAGTAACGACAAGCAGTTTCATGCAGAGGTGAGCAAAGCAAAAAGACAATTTAAATAGGATATCATAAGTTCATATACATAGCGCTAAATATATTTCCAGTACGACAACTGCACAAGAAAAACAAGTGAAAATAAAATAAATACACGTGCATAAAAAGGTGAAAAAAAATTTACAAACAATAAAATACCATATATCAATAACAATACACAAAGATGGTAACAATACAGAATAATAACACCGTATTATTATAGCAATGCTAGCTTAGACTACAAATAAACAGGTGCACCTAAAACAGGTTCTCTAAGCTGCACCTAAATCTAAGCAGACCAGCCTCAAACATTTCCGCCTCCATCGAAAATGCAGCTCCACAGCTGCAAGTTATCAGTCGAGCGCCATAACCACTACATCATTGCTGCAGAGAAAAGCCAAGTCTCGCCATTACATAATCCATTACACTACCCACTACGCCATTACATTACATAATCCTCAATTGCGCACTGACAACACAGCCTCTGGCTCAGGCTACAATACTTGAAAAAATTCCTCCTTCAACTCTTCCACTGATTACCACTATCATTCCAATTTTCTACCCCTGAGGTAAAGCAAATAATGCTTGTAAAAAGTATTAACTGCCAGACAGGTCTGATGCTTCTCCTGAGCATCATTTTATTCATATAGAGCAACACAATAACATCAATGCATTTATATTTGAATCAACAAGGAAGGAAACATTACAAGCAGCACCGAGATCTAGCTATGATTTTACAGTGGAAAAAAAAAGCGCAAAGAACAATAAAGGATGGTTGAGAAAGAAAAATGAAGGTTATCATTTAACGAGCTTCTTTCTTTACACTAGTACACCTTGTCTTCATTTCCACTGGCAATAAAAAGTGCTAGGAAAGTTCAAGCAGCTACGCAGCTATAGAAACAAATTTGATGCCAAAATTGTCTATAAATTACATGCGAAAGCTGGAAACTGCCAAGCGTTCACAGCATATTTTTCTGAAAGCATACTGGACTTGTGTATCCATAAATTTACTACGCAACAAAGTGTGGGCTAGGCAAAAGAGTTGCATCATTTACCTTGAAAATTTCCTTCGAGGTGGGTTAATCACGCCATGGCTTGTATTAATACACTCATACCTTGCTATAATGAACCCAGACATAACGAAATATTGGTTATACACTCAAACCTCGTTATAACAAGTTGAAGGGGAGCCACAATTATTTCGTTATTTCTAGTATTATGCCGATCTGTGACAGGCCTGTGTCACGCTTCTTCTTTTTCCGTCTCTGCACGTAGAGATTTTTCTCCTTCTCCTCCTTGTGTGCAGAGAGAGAGGAAAAAAAAAAAGAAAGCTTTCACGGAGCGTTGGCTCTCTGTAATGCTGATCTGCTTCTCTCTGCATGGAGACGCTCCTCCTTTCTCGGTGCAGAGGTTAGCAGCGGAGACGCAGTCGTTGCCGTCGTCTTTAGAGAGTGTTGACACTGGACCTAGCCGCACGCTACTATGCTTTGCAAACTGCGTTGATTGACTCGCTGCAAGGCAAACGTGTGCAAGCGCGCATCACCGATTGCTTCAATTAATGACAGATGTCGTCTGATTAGTGAATAAATTTAAGTCTTCTGAAGCTTCCCCATTGTGTGTCGCTTTGCACAGCGGCGCTGCTTCTCGGTCATGTGACCCGCTGAGCGCTTCCTCAATCCCCTACGCTGGCTGTGTGAGGAGGACGGCTTTCTCGGCCGTGCGTAGCGTAGCTGTAAGGTCAGCGCGGGAGCTTTGAAAGAGCCATGCCAAACTTCGCAGAAAACATTATACTTAACACACAATGGTCGCTTTTTGTAATAGACTATTTGATAGACTAATTTAGTTCATTATATCCATTTATCGGTTAATTTTACTTCATTACAACGAGGTTTAAAATGCATGGTTCTCAATGAAACTTCCGAGGGGAATTTCATTTACTTTGTTATATCCATTATTTCATTATATACAGTTACATTACAGCGAGGTTTGAGTGTAGTGAAGTAAATGAAGAATAGTCTTGCAACAGACAGTGTTAGGATTACACCTTTTTAACAAATTTTCAGATCTAACAAACTTATTTTTGGATAATATCCATGAGGTTTGAGTGTATTAAGAAAAAAAAAAATCCTCGTTTTTTTTTTATCTGCCGTGTTAAGAACAAGTGGAAGCACTTCAATGTGGCCTCACCTGTTGGTTTGAAACTGGAGTCTTCTTCCGAGCCAGCTGAATTGAGTTTCACTTCATCCCTTGCACCCTGAGACTGCTGCTCCTACATGCAAGATGCTCATCAAGGTAATGCGCAGAAACAATCTCAATATACCACTACACTTCAACACATCATAATTATCATCATCATCATCAGCCTGCCTACGCATACTGGGAGGCAAAGGCCTCTCCTATGTTCCGCAAATCAACCCGGTTCTGCGCTTTCTGCACACGGGACCAGGTTGATTGGCGGAACATAATAGTTGGTGTGGATTGCACTAACATTACTAAAAACAAGCCTTCAAGTTCACCACTTTATTGATTGATATATAGGGTTTAACGTCCAAAAACCACCATATGATTATGAGAGAAGCCGTAGTGGAGGGCTCCGAAAATTTAGACCACCTGGGGTTCCTTGACATGCACCCAAATTTGAGCACACGGGCCTACAGCATTTCCGCCTCCATCGAAAATGCAGTCACCGCAGCTGGGATTTGATTCTGCGATTCAAATTCACCAATGTTTAAATCGTTATGGCACTTGACATATTTACTAAACATTGATACCAAGTGTGTCGAATTATCTTTTCTTTTTTCATGCGAAAATCATCACTATATCATCAGCTTAACTTAATCTCCACAAAAATAAGCTAAATAAGCTAAATAGAAAGTAATGCTCGCATTCATCGGTAATTTTCAAGCACTACAGCAAACACTACAAATGCTACATATTACTTCAATTTATTTCCCATGTTTTCTTTACTATGTATTTAGGTCTTGAGCCATGAATATGACACAGAGAAAGAAAGTGCTATATTTGTTTTGAGTCATGAACATGACGCAGACAAAAAAAAGTGCAACTCATGTGGTCTACATAAAGGAAAACATTTGAGGGGAGATGCTACTCGAAGACACTTTTTTTTTAATATTCACCCCAGAGCAATGAAACTTGAGGTGTTTATGGAACTTTTTATGCTGATTTCAAGTATATAATTAGTTTTCTTGCAAGTTGCTTACATTTAGTTCTGCGAAATGACAGAGTGAAAACTTTAACCCTTTTGCCCCCCCCCTCCCTATTTTAATCCCTGAAATTCAGTAATTTTTTACCATTCATAGTTCATAATGTTTGAAATAAAGAGTAGAATGCAAATAACTAATTAGGAAGCCATTACAAAATATGTAAGTGGTGTGAAAAATAATAGACGCAAAAAGCCATATTTCACCTACCCGAGTAAAGGTTTACATAGAATTTTTTATTATACAATAAAATATTAAAATTTAAACTAGATAATTGCATTCACTATAGTTTAGAAAAAAATTGGGCAAACTTTCATGCAGATCCGAGCACTAGAAGTGCCCGAAAAAGGAAGGGCACATTGAAAAAAATGGCAAAATTTGTGTTTTGAGAAAAACGAGTTTTTAAGTCAAAATTGAGTTTTTATTTATGAAAGATATCATTAAATCTGATGAAATTTGCACACCAAAAAGAACAATGCTTCTTGTAGTAGCCACTGCGATTAAAATACGCCAGCTCCATGAGTTTGTCCCTCTCGGCTTTTTGGAGCCCTCCTCACAGACATTTTGCTCACAGACAGGGCCATGAAACACTTGCCAAACTTCCGCTCCATCTGGCAGAGCTTTGTGCCAACTGGAAGTTAAAAAGAAGTTCGACAAGACTGCGAAATCCAAACTAAGTCCAGTGTCATTCCATCTTGTGGCTATGTTTGTGCCATATACCGTCACACAGTGGCAATGTCGTCCCTGCTAAGCTATCTCACTGCGAGATCTTTTCATTTCTCAAGATTGGCGCTGACGTCATCCATTGCCGCATTACGAACTTTCAGGCTGACGGGTGTGAATGACTTTTGATGCATAGGTTTCGATGTTGATGCATTGGTCACAACACTTGCGAGCAATGCTTTTTTCCTTCATAACGGAGATAATTACATGAGAAAAGCATTGTTCAGCTGCGCTTCTCGACAAGACATGGACACCACAAATAGGCTTCACAGCACATACAGGTGCGCAGCGGCCAATGGCGGTCCCCGATCCGTACCACGTGATAAGCCAGTCACGACCCTCGAAAAACGCGCATAAGCGTGCTTCTTTTCATTATTTCTTGTGCCGCATCAGCGAGGAAAACTGTTGTTGCTTGAAGAGTGAGCTCGACTCTTCGACTAATGCGATCAACAATGACGAGTGGTGGCGCATTATCGGCGGCTAGATGCTCGAAGGCTGCACACTTTCGACCTTTTAACAGGTACCTTGTGCTCTTTAGATGCAATTTTAAAGCATTTCCAGTCAAGTCTCAACCTGTATTTTTTTTTTCATAACAGTAGAGGTACTAACCTTATCAAAACAGGCAAGAATTAAAAATTGGTAATTTTGAAAAAAACTCTCATTTTTCGACCCGCATCTCCCCTTAACAGTAGATGACGCAGGACAGTAAATGATGGTTAAGAAGGAAACGCTGTTCATGGAAACTTTCTTATGCATGCGTCCACCTTGTCTCACACTTTACAAATTTAACGAGGGGAAAGCTTGACTCGTCACAATCACAAACACGGAAGGAACTCACTGTCCGTTCTCTCGACGCCTGGTCGATGTTGTGAATGCCTACGAGGAGGCTGTAGTCCATTATTTTGAAGCTCTCCAAGACCTGCACATATGACAAAGAACACATACTCAAAATGATGAGCCAGCCCATGATGTGGCGTGATATGCGCATTTAAACCAGCCGGTTCACCTCTTTCATCATGGCAAAAAACTATCACAGAGATGAAGGAAAGTGTAAATTAAGGGCTCGTTTTTCTTCATTTGACAACAACATTAATGAGAATTAACAGTCATTTATGACAGAGAAAGTATACGGGATGTTACTAGAAGTAAATGTAATGTATATAGAAAAACAAAACGAAAAAATAAATATAAGAATTCTAGCTTTTCTACTGTCACGACAAAAAACAATGCAAATTATGATTAAATTCAAAGTAGGTTAAAATCAATCCTAAAGAGCACAAGGTTGCTGTTAGAAACTAAGAAGTGCTCATTGCCCCTGGAAATCGTCAACTGGTTCCTTGCCATTGCATTTTGAATGCGGACTTCCCTAAAGCCACATGCTCAAAATAATAATTAACAAGCTCTCTGGAAGAAATATTCTTAACAAACATATCTTTTCTGCATAGATGAGCTCTCGATTTGGTATACCTTTAATATGAGTTTTTCGCAAAATGCATTTGCTACTGATTTCTTGAGTTTGGAAATCCTGTTTTGGTACTTCTAAAAGCCCGATAGGAATGAAATATTGCCCACATATTCCTTAACATGAGAATGTTGCAAGTACCCCCTTCAACACTTGATATCACCTGTATAATTATCACGAACCTAAAGTAAGCAATTAGTATGGGCTGAGAACTTTATAAGAATTTTCACATTAGAATTGTTTTTATCCATTAATATGTCTTGTGCAACTTTCTTGATAGTTATTTGCATTCTACAGTTAATGTAGAGCATTATGAGCCCTTAATGCCTCAGAACTATAGAAGTTTTGTGGCAGAAAAAGTTTCTCCAAAAAGAGCTATACTTTACACATTGTCATGTCATAAAACAAAAACAGTGCAATTTACTATAAAACTAAATACATATTTGAAATCAGCATGAAAGCCTATATATACAGTGAAAATTGCATTGCTCTAGACTACACATTAACGCAGCTTTTTGTTTCAAATCACACCTCCCTTAAATGTAAAATTTTGCATGCTCAATAAGAAAGCTTTTCGCCTTCTCTTTGTGTGGTGACCTCGTAACCTTTGTTGCCATTTTGTATTTATGTACGGAGGTTTTATTCTTAGGAGTAACATTAAATGTACCTTTTCTTAAAAATGAATAACAGCATATCCATGAAATCTAGAACGCAGGGGTGCAACAGCCAAAATACAATTTGTAGCAATTTCTGGAGCAGCAGAATGTTACTTTTGGAGCACTAAATTCCAAATTTGGAGTAGTTTAAGAGAAAAAAAACACATCTTTTATCATGAAATAGCAAATTTCGAGCAGAATAAAAAAGAAGGTATACATCTACAAAAAAAAAAAAGAAATGTATAAACGGTTCAACATGACCGAAATCGTGCAGTGTAAGCATGAGCACTGCTATTTCAATTAAAGTAGTATTTTGAACCACCCCGCTAAGCAAACAATGAAAAATTCCATATTAGTGTTTGTTGCACTTTTCAGGACATTTGAGAGACTCTGTCATAAATTATCAATCTGCCAATATATATCCACTCTGTGAATATAAATATCAATCTGCCAAGCTCGTGACGTTGAAGCATGGGAGATTTGTAAAACTGAGGACTAGGGATGGTGAAAAAAAAAAACAGACGTACAATTTAGTTAGATTTTTAGGGAAGGACAAATGTGATACACTACTGCAAATGATTGCCAGTAGCTTATTTAGACGGCAGTGATTGTATTGGTACTCAGAATTGTGTGGCGTAGAAACACATGAGTAACTGAGCAAAATGTGCAGTGTCCCACTAGCGCTAACAGTCCCTTCTTAATCTCAATAGGCTTTTCCGCAGGGCATTGGTGTATTGCGGCAAAAATGGGTCAAGCAGCATTAGAATCAAAGCAAAGAAATTTTTTAGCCGCTACACCACCACCCCGCTTCCAAAATTTTTTTTTTTTTTCGCTGTGGGATTAGGTGCCATATCGCCTCCCTTGCAAGGCGCGTTCGAAAAGGTAAGGTAACAACAACATGCACCGTTGGCCCACCAACGGCACCGAATATCTATCATCAGGACCGTGGTAGGAATGACACAACTTAAAGACAGAAATAAATGTTTTATGTGCCACTGCTAAGGCAATCAACGTGGTCACTAACAACGCCAGAGTTCACAGCACGTTGAGGTTGTTCACGCGGGGAAAACGCGGCATATGCTTCCAGCTTTAGTTCTTAACAAGCCGTAGCCGCGTTTTCAGGCTACGAAATTTACATTTCCCGCAAAGCGTTGGTGGCTACAGCAACACATTTTGTCTTGGAAGTTCTGCTGCCCCACCGATAGGCATCCGCTGTAGTCAGTGGACTGATGGGCGCACTGCGTTGTTACTTATTTGGTTGATCACGACTCGCGAGCATAGGGCGGGTGCCTAGAATATTTTAAGTATACTCTACGCATTATAGTACAGGTCTGCGCGCTTTGACTGATGGAGCAAGCTGCAAATGGCCGATGTAGCCTGCCTTTTTTGCTGAAATTAGCGAACCTGAACAAAATTTTGAGGCTGGCTGGGCATTTTGCCGCAGCATGGCGCAACAATCGGGAATTGTATTAAAGTGGCACAAATGGCGCAGCTGTTGCACCCCTGGGGAGGCTAATTACCCATGGCAGTGAACCCTTAGCTTGAAAAAAAATTCCTACTTTTGTCTCACAAGAAGAAAATATATTGTCCTCACATGTCACCTGCTTTAAGAGAGACTTTCCAATTAATAATGTTTTAAAACTATAACTCACACAGTTCTTCAATGTATTGGTTAATATTTGAAAGGGATTCAAGTACAGTGAAAGCTCGTTAATTCACACCTCATTAATTCGAAATTTTGGATAATTCGAAATGGTCGCCGCAGTCCGGTCCGCAGTGCATAGGAGACCATGTGTAAAACGATTCGTTAATTCGAACGGAACTTGCTGCCTCTACGGATAATTCGAAGCGCGCGCCGCCGGGCGTCATCATCGTCAAACACTAGTGGAAGCTTTTACGGTCAAACAACAGGTGGCACGACCAGTTTTTTTTAGCTTCAAGTGGCCTCCGAGCGAAGGGCGAGCAAAGTATGGCCTCCAAAATTCAGGAAGCAATTTTTTTTTTTCGTATCTCTCCAGCTTTCGTAGCCCCTGGCGCCACTTGTACGTGGGACCCACGGGACGCTGAAGAGTCGGCGGAGTAGTCCTAGCAGTCCTAGCATTTCTCTATGGTCCTAGGCCGCTCCCGGCAGCGTCACTTTGTTCCTCGAGCACGTTGTTCGTTCACGCCGTCAAGCCGTCTTATTCCGCATCGAAGTTGCAAGATGCCGCGGGGAAACTACTGCGCGAAGACTGTCAAGAAGAAGGTGGAGATTTTGCGAAAGGTTGACCAAGGGAACTCGAGCAAATACGAAATTGCGAGGAAGCACGGCATACCTCCGAGCACAATGTCAACCTACATACGCAACAAGATGGCCATTGAAAACGCCTATGAAGCCGAGGATTTTGGCGCCAGTCAAAAAAGGCTAAGGACAGCGAAGTTCCCGGAACTGGAGTCAGCTTTGATTATCTGGTTTGAAGAAATGAGAGCCCAGAGTATCGCAATGAGCGGCCCTATCATTGTGGCCAAGGCAGCCGATTTCGCCCTGCGCTTGGACATTGAAGACTATGTCGCCTCCGAGGGATGGTTTCATCGTTTCAGGCAGCGGCACAATCTCGTATTCCGCACGTTATCCGGCGAGGCAAAGGAACTGGACGCCGAAACATGCGCTACTTGGAGAAGCGACACCCTGCAGCAGTACTTGGAGAGCTACTCGCCCCAGGATGTGCTTAATGCTGACGAGACAGAGTTATTTTTCAAGTTGCAGCCAGACAAGACGATCACCTACAAAGGAGACAGCTGTGCCCGCGGCAAGCGCAGCAAAGAGCGTGTCACTGTTCTGGTCGCTGCAAATATGACCGGTACGGAAAAGGTCCCCCTTTTTGTGATTGGCAAAGCACTCAAGCCACGGTGCTTCAAAAACATTCGCTCACTGCCGACGGAGTACGCCGCAAACAAGAAAGCCTGGATGACAGGTGACCTATTCAGGAAGTGGCTACTGAAATTCGACAGGCGAATGGAACTGGGCGGCAGACGCGTTCTTCTTGTCGTCGACAACTGTTCGGCGCACAAAGTCGACGTTGAGCTGAGAGCAACTAAGTTGGTGTTCCTTCCGGCAAATACGACTGCGGCCCTACAGACAATGGACCAGGGTGTGATAAGGAACATTAAGTGCTTTTATAGGCGTCACGTGCTGGAGAGAATGATTTTGTGCGCGGGCGACAGGAAGGACTTCGGCATTACGCTGCTCACTGCCATGCACATGTTGGTGCGCGCATGGGAACAAGTGACCGCGACCACAATCGCAAACTGTTTCAGCCACAGTGGATTTGCAGCTGGAAGTGCGCAGGATAGTTGTGACATCGACGTGGATGGGGCTGAGGAGCTCATGCCAGCGGCGTTGCGTGACACTCTTCGGGGCGTACGATTCGCCGATTATGTTGAAGTTGACACCGGTGCATCGGTGTGTGGTGCCCTGACTGATGACGACATTATCGCTCAAGTAGCCGGTGCGCAGCCTGATGCTGAAGAGCCAGAAGGTGAGGAAGACGAAAATGACGAAGCGCCTGTGCGCCCGTCAGCTTCTGCGGTGATGGAGGCACTTAATGTGGCGCGTCTCTTCTTCAGCTTTGAAGAGGGTAAGAGGATTCCATGCGCCGCGTCCGCGCGCTGGAACAGGGAGCCGCAGCTGTGGCATTCAGAGAAAAGAAGCAGATGGTCATCACCGACTTTTTTGGCCAATAAATATTTTTCGTGCCCCCACCCCCGAAATCCACCCATTTTTGCTCACTTTCATTATTTCGAATTTTGTTATATTTGACATTGCTCAGCGTTCCCGTGGAATTCGAATTAACGAGCTTTTACTGTATAAGACAAGAAATTTCAGTGAATTTATTTGGACAGTTTTTCAAAAAAAGTAAATTAGGTTTCAAAAATATTCAAAGAACTAACTGGGGGGAAAATGTGCCTTTATGCTTAGAAACATGTGCAGAAAGTGCTCACAACATGAACCAATGACTACACTACAAAAGCACCTATTCTGAGAAAATTTGCAATCAAATCTTACTGGACTGGTAAGAAATGAATATATTTAACCAATCTAGTTATGTTTTTTATTTTAAAAAATATACACATCCAAAAGTGATGAGGGAAAACGATATGTAAATAAGACCTTGCATCTGTCAGAAGGTGCAGTCTTAGGTGCCACTTGATTTATTGACGTGTGGGTTTAATGCCCCAAAACCACCATATGATTATGAGAGACATCGTAGTAGAGGGCTCCGGAAATTTCGACCACCTGGTGTTCTTTAACATGCACCCAAATCTGAGCACACAAGCCTATAGCATTTCCGCCTCCATTGAAAATGCAGCCGCCACAACTGGGGTTCAATCCTGCGACCTGCGGGTCAGCAGCCAAATACCTTAGCCACTATATTACCATGGCGGGGCTTAGGACCACTTCTGAATGGCTTCGACGCGCTTGTCAATGCACCATTTAACTCCTCAGCATTAGGTTTGTGCAAATATTGAAATGAATACCAAAATATTTGAATTCCCTTCGATTCAAATTCGAACTATTCAAAATTTCGAAGCATTTGCAATGAACGAACTTGTGTATACTATTTGTCTGCGTATAATCCCTGTTAAGTGGTTTCATTGCAGTGAAGGGGTGCTAAGCAGTGAAAGCACCTGTCTAAGTGTATTAATTCACATGTAACCACCGGCTAAGATGATTTCACAGTAGTAAAGGCGTGCTAAACCGTGATAACACCTACCCAGAAGAAAACAGACTGTAGCGAAGCCCCACTTAAAGGTTAAAAAAGCAAACTGCCCTCACATCGATTCATAATTGTTTGCAGGCTTGAAGTATAGCAACTTTTAAAACATAATTTACAGGTGATCACTTGCATTTTCCCGAAAGTCAAATCTTGCTACTAGTACTAAAAATTGTTCCCACTTCCTTTGGAAAAAAAAAATCGTGCAGGCCATCTCTCAATAAAAAAAAAAATTAGGTTATACGAAATATGCCCATTTTTTAGACATAATATTTGATTCGAAATTATACGACCAAAATCACTATTCACTTCGAACTCACTTTGAACCTAAAATTCACTATTCGCGCAAGCCTACTCAGAGTGTGTGTATTATGTCTTAGTAATGGAATAAAAATCTCCCTTTTTTTTTTTGGTTAATCTGACCTACGAGCTGGCTCTCAGCTGGCTTTTTTAAACAGTTCTCAGAAACAAACAGGTCACCGTGAAACGGAGAGCGTAGCCATACCCGGCAGTCCCGTTGGATGGTCTTGATGAGAGCATTGTAGGTGTCAGCCTCTAGCAGGATGCCATCAGGATGGTGCTCGAGAAAGTCGAGGTCCTTGAAGGTCGGCGAGCGCTTGCTGCGCTCGTGCTTGTTCGCTTTTCGCTTGTAAGTGGAGCCCTTCAGGTCGTACTTCTGGTGCATGGGCACCACCGAGGGAAGCAGGTTGTTCATTAGCACAACACGCACATTCTTGCCGCCACATTGGTAGCAGTAGAGGCCATAGAACTTGGGCAGCAGTGTTCGTGGGTTCTGGTTCAAGTTCTGGACAAAAAAATAAATAAAATTTCCTTTTATTACTGGCATTTTATGTCTCAAACTAATAGGCGCAACAAGAGCCACGACCGAGAACCATCTGCATTCATACAAATGCTCAAACTGTGGTGCATGCAACGGTTCGACAGGAATGGATGGTGCACTTTAAACTTCGGAAGCTGATGATTTTTCTTCAGGTTCATCTAATGTGCAATTGAGGTAATGCGCCAGCAAGTTCGTAACAACACGTTTTATCATGTGTCACGTAATGTGTCGTAAAAACATGTCACATTCGTGTATTCTTATAACCATATCTAAGGAACTTCAGTGCACCAATAATACAATAGCTTTCACCACTTCGTGTTCTGGGCAGGACTGGAAAACTAATTTGTGAGAAATTACAGAGCCAATCTATCATGGAGCACTAACCGTGTGATATCCACAGTCATTTTGGGTTTTCAATACCGAATACCAGCAAAGTCTTTTGCCAACTATTTTATGCAAGACTTTCAGGTTTCGAAGTTGACACACTCACCATGTAGTAACCTGGAAGCAGATTCTGCAAAAACTCGGCTTCCTTGTGCTGAACTGTTTTGACAATGAACTCATCGTCGTTGGTGAGGTAAAATACACTCCCGCTGGCACCAGGGTTCGTCAGTTCCCTCATCGGTTCGTGGCACAAGGACATCTGAAATCGGCCTCAGAGTAATGAATTACATAACATGGTGACACAGGTACAAGATATCACTAAGAATAAATAATTTTTAAATTGGTATTTTGCAGCCGTAACTAAAATAATTATTAATGAAGGAACATCGACAATACTATTAGCTATACAGTTTATTTTGGATACATCAAATTTGAACACAGTTCATCTCTGATATATCAAACTCAGATATAGTGAATTATTGTCTATATCGAACAGTTGGGAAATCCCCTTGTGCTTTTCATGCAAAAGTATGGGACCTGTGCACCCGTATATCGAACTACCGCACAGTGAGACATCGCTATATTGAACACTGCGTCGCACTGAAGCCCAAAAGTACATTTTTCCTAGCAAATATTGATCAATTTTCGGCCGTGTTCTAACAAGTTCCGATCCCTTTTCGGGCGCAGGTGACGAAAAGGCAGAGTTATTCCATCGCACTAATCTGGTTCGTTGCATGGCGCTTTCAAGTGCACTGGTAAGTTTGACGCGCAATCTACAGATCTTAATGCGTAGGCACAGTGTTTTTCGAAAAGACCGATTGCTGAGGACACCAAAATGATAATGCAAAGTGACTCTGCAATCTCGTTCCAATGTTTGCATTCCGTTCCTCGTGTGTGAGCACGCCATGCGATGGGCATCCGAGCCTGAAAAGCATGGCCTTCGAGATGTGCAACCTCGTGATGTATGTTTAGTGTTTTCGGTTTTAAAAGAATGTCTCAGAGGCTACGCTTTTTCTAGCTTTTCGCATTGAAGTAGCTGAAAGCAGCAAGCAATAAAGCGACAAGCGACATAAATATATCCAACATGTCGATGCTGGGAATTCGGCGCTGTCTTTTGTGCCTTGTGTATTTCTTGCGTTGTTCTTGATAAATTCTCATTCATGAGTTAAACAGAACATTGACCAGCACGTAGCAATAAAAATCATGACTGGCGCTGGGAGCAACGTCAAGTAAAGCATTGTTGTAAATTTTCCTTGCAGGTCAGGTGATGACTTAAGTGCGTCATGACAGCTGACAACATTTCCGGGCACCATGTTGGAGAGAGTGGCTTCATTGGTGCGTAGCTGTTTCTGCCTGCATCGATGCTGATATCATAGCTAAACTTGCCGTGGAAGGGTACTCGTGTGGTCATGAATATGCCACCACCTTCGCTGCCACCCCTAACGAACCTTTTGCCACGCTACAAAGCTTGCATTGGCATTTTGCGTTATCAATGCTGTTGTGGTCAAAAGAGCTGAATTCGCTTATTTAAAAAGCTTGACTACGAAAACTGCACGAAATAAAGACAATAACACAGAAGGTACACGCACAAGTACAAACTAGCAACTGAAAGTTTATTGAAACAAACACAAATATAAATAGCAAGAAACGACGTAAGTCATTAGAGGTTGGCAGCTAGATAGTCTATCTCTAGTTGGTGCAATGAGATCGAAGGCCTCGCAACACACGGGTCGCCATACTTTTGAATATAAAAAACCTCAGTAACTTCTCTTGCTGTCTTTGTGCCGCGACAACACCTTTGTTTTTCGAAGTGAAGGGTGACACTTGCAATCTCTACAATGTAGGCACAAATTCGACGAAGGGTGGACCTTCCTCGGTATGCTTTGTGATCCTTTAGACGGTTATTCTAACACCTTCTGGTTTGCTTGATATAGTACTTACCACGTCACAAGGAAATGAAAAAACACCGTACTCTTTCCACATTCAACTAATGCTATCTAACTGTCAACCTCTAATCTTTTATGCCATTTCTTGCTATTTATATTTGTGTTTACTTCAATGAACTTTCATTTGCCAGTCCGCACTTGTGCGTGTGCCTTCTGTCTTCTTGCGCAGTTTTTGTAGTTATGTATTACCAACTCGCCCAGCATTCAGTCCTCTTTGAAAAGCTTCAATGATGTTGAGAATGATGGGAGCTTGACGGCGTACAAGAGGCAAGACACGTTTACGGACTATTTCACGCGAAATATAGTGCGATGACCAGCAGTTCACCCATTGTTCTCCACTATACTGTGGGCAAATCGTTATGCTAGCACTTGTAACAGTTTCAAAGGCCTGAAATGCTTTATTCAGTTTTTAAATGCACATATTTTGTCTTTCAAATTATCAATATATCCATTTATTTCGCGATCCCCTTCAAACATGAAATATTTGGGATCGACTAGTGACATGAATCTTTTCTTAACTCAAAATGCAGTTCTAATGACAAGAATATCAAGTACTCAGCATGTGTGAACTTAAAAAGGTGAATTCTAGATGCACATGAGCACTTAAGTTAGCAGCTTGGCATGGCTGGCTGCCAGCTACCAACTTTGTTATGGTGCTTGATCATTTTATGCTGCAGAATTGGTGGCAGTAAGGTTAATTGTATATTTAGTAATGCCACTGCCATTACAGTGAAACCTGATTAATACATAACTGCCAGGAATGGCAGCATAACTATGCACTAAGCAACTACACATTAATCACCAGCTACAAATTTGCATCTTTTGACATGCGCCGTTGCAGCCAACAAAGGAATAAATAAAGTGCCACAAAAAACACTGCCTAAAGTGCCTACCACAAAGCCATTTTTTTCTGCCAAAGTGCAGAAAAGATTCTGTCACTCTCGCACAACAGCCCGATAGCACGCAGTGGCGACGCCAAGAAACATTTCAAAACTACTGCGAGATCTGAGATACGCAGCATGGTACAGCGACAGAATGGACACAATCGACTCTTCACGATACTCGAGCTCTGCGGTATGCTACTAAGAGAAAACTGACGCAGTTTTTTTAAAGGCGGTATGGTACCAGATAGCCAAATCGTTTACTGCATGGGTAGTTGCGTGCAGCGCATCCCCTACTCGGCGCACTATGTGAGTGCTGATCTGCTTGCTTTGGAGTACGCCCACTCCGCTTCATTTCATGCACAGATGAGGTGAGTAGCCTATTGGGTTAACGCAGCAATGATGCGCTTTCTGCAAGCGATGCTCGGGCAGTCCTGGCAGCAGACAGAGGCGCGTTTGGGCTGTGGTGTACGTGTTAGCAGGATACAGCAAGGTTTCTCAATGCCCACAGTCTGCAACGCTAAACTCTACAACAGTGAACTGCTTGTGTTTCTGCAAAGTGATGCACGCTTGAACACGGTTTTGCAGAATAAAGCGGCAGCGATCACCGGCCCAGCGCATTCAGGTATGTGCCTATAAAAGCGTGCGGTAGGCTGAAAGCAGCGTACGCCACATGCATGTGCCCGAGCAGATAGCCAAGGATTATTTCAGTGATATGATAAGGCTTTTCATCGGTGATAAGCCATACTTGCACGTTTGTCGGGGTTCGCAACGTCACCTTCGTTTTTTTCCCCAATGATTACTCGCAATGTCATTGCTGCAATTTCGCGGAATTTAGAATAACTTATAAGCTGATCGTCAAGCTCATTAACATTCTTTTTTCTGGGTGAAGGGGCCAGTCAAGCTGTGAAATGCAGCTTTTTTCCCTTCGCACCAAACCGCGTAAACAGTGTATTTTCGTGTACTTGTCACGTGGTTAAATAAACTCAAACATGACAGAAAATCGTTAACAGCTCATTGTGGCGTCTGCAAGTTCAATAGCGCAGTAACATTTTCTGGCTCAAAAGTATATCACAGTACGCAGTTGGTGTACGCACTAATCGGTAAGCATAAGACGAACACTGCGGTTTAAGCGGTCCGCAAATACATTAGTCTCTATGAGACTCTGTCGGGGATTCGTCGCAACTAAGTTTCAACTGCTAGTACACTTAAGGCGGGTATATGCTAGCGAGGGTTGACTGTAGAATGAACATCAAAGAACTTTGAATGCATGGACACAAGAAGAAAGAAATAAAGAAAGCAGCAATGAAAATTAGATAATTTCAGGAGTGCTTTTGACATCAGAATATAGCAGTGCTTGCATCAGTGACTGGAGTGACTGAAGGTTAATAATTAGTTGATATTAAATAACATACACAACATCCTTTTTTTTTTTTTTTCTATGAAAGTAGTTAGAATGCTCATCGAGAAAGCATAGGCTTTTAAGACTAGACAGTTTGGGCAAACAAAGTCCTTTCACGACTACGGTAACAAGTAAAACCACAGAGATCAAGCACTGTGCGTAGCGATGCTTACTTCGCTTCACCAATGAGTTACAGCAGCTTTCATAATAATGTACACTTAAACTCTCATAATATTCCTGTAGCTCAGGAACATAAAACTCGCAACCATGTAGTGAAAGTAATTACAATTACTCTCACTAAATATAACTTCGTAAATATGGCAGCATGCAGTAAATGCAGTTGACTCACGTTAATTCAAACTCGAAGGAATTTCTGAACTTTATTTAAATTATCAAGAAGTTTGAATTATCAGAAGTTATATGACTGTGGGTGAGGTGACATCACACGTTATGATTAGGCACTGATTTCATCAGATTTCAAAATTATTTAAGTGATTGAAAGACCTAACTGCACGCAATAAACAGAAAGCAGAGGTGTAAGGTCCACAAGTTTATTGGCCATTTACTGCTGATTAGACCTTTTTAAGAAATCGTGAATTGCGAACTGCTTTTTTGCTATATGTGCTTTCTGCACAAAGCTCTCTACACCAGTTGAGAAGCAACACTGTTTACCATGCGTGCACTTTGTTTCAAAATTTTCTTTTTACTAGCAAACCCTTTTTCCTTGAAGGCCTAGAGTGCTTATTTTTCATTTTTAAGACTGTTAGGATTACATAAGCACGAAAATTTTTAAATAGTAGTGGGAAAGCAGTAGATATTTTCTGGTATGGAACCACAAAAAGTATGAATTGAACCAATGTTGGCATTTCAAATAAGAGGCTTTTAAATACATTGAAAGAATAGAGGGCCAACCGAAAAATTGAATTTCTTTGAGTTAACCAAAGGTATGAATTATCACAGTTTGAATTATCACGAGTCTAATGTAGTTTAAACCTTCACGTTCCAGAATTATGAAAAATGTCTGCAGTCACCAGCACATCTGACTCTAAAGGTTCAGCAGAAAAGAGCTGCAGCTGCATCATAACTGATGGGCCTAAAGATTAGGACGTCTGTATGAATGCACAACACATTGAACTCACAGACTTTGGGCCCCATAATAACGAAATGACTATTCACATCTTTTAAAAATTCACGAAGCGTTAAACGCCTTGGGCAGGACCCAATATGTGAAGTGAAAGAGACAGAAGGGAGGCGACTTACCAAAAAATCTTCAGTTTTTATGCTAAACAGGTCCCTAAAGTATCGAAAGGCGACTGGAGCGTACGCCTTAAATTTGAAGTCGCTATAGTGATGTGCTGGTGTGAGATTGCTCCCCTCCCTGGAAAGTGACCAAAGAGAAAGAATGAAAACTTAAATGCGTCATAAAAAATTCCTGTTAGTACAAAGCAAAAGCAATTTGCCCCCATCTGATAAATTTTTATGGGACAAAAGTTTGCTACACTTTCTTCTACAAAATGCAGTGCAGTTGCGCAATTCATAACACGGACACCACTAAGGTGAAGTGTAGCACCGCGGCCAATGAACTTGTGAGTGTAAGGATGCAGTTGGTGATACTTTGCTTGTTCAATTACAATTTTCCTTTCTTAGTAGCAGCTACTTGTAGTGAACAATAAAGAGCTTGCCAATGCACAGTACCTATGACTAAATCATAACTGAATGTCTTGTGCAGTTAAGCTGCTAAATCTGACAGTTAAATCTGACAATGTAGCGGCACCGAAATTCTTGGGCGTACCAGTTGCTGTTGCAAACATAAATGTTTGCTCTGCACTTTCTGAATTCTGCTCGAGAACTCGCGGCAGTCAAGGTTTTGGTACAGAGACCTCTTATATTATTGAAGGCTGTGAAGCTTTATGCCACAGGCTTGAGTTGCATCCCTTTTAAAACATTAGAGAAATACACCAACTGCTACCAATCCTGCAGTTGTCTAGTGGCTAAGGTACTCGGCTGCTGACCTGCAGGTCGCGGGATCGAATCCCGGCTGGGGCGGCTGCATTTTCGATGGAGGCGAAAATGCTGTAGGCCCCGTGTGCTCAGATATGGGTAATCCTATGAGGTAAACGTAAATTTCCGTGGACAGCACGACAGCAAGAGTGCCTTAGATTGCCTACTGCAACTCTCTATGACTGAAAGACAAATATGCTGTGAAGCATTTTGGAGAACACACTAAAGCAAGGTACAAATAAGTTTAAACGAATAAAGCATGCTTTTAAAGATCTATACCAGATAATTTTACTGTAAGATGTTGATTACAGGAAGAAAAAAAAATGAAGACTAGAAGTTTGAACATATCTTAACTGCAAAATGTTCGTGCTTGTATGACGATGTAATGTCATAAACTTCAGAATATTTTCTTGTGTTGGGGTATTTTTTTATAGTAAGCTTTTATGTTAAGGTATTCCTGATGGAAGCACATTCTTTTGCAAACGAAGTAAGGTTCAGTCTGTCACTATCTTAGAACAGAATGCAACCTATCTTTGCCAGTAAAAATATGGACAAAAGCTGAGGTGACGATGTCTTGAACCAAAATTCGTCATCCAACATTACAAGAAAATCTCATCAGAGGTTAGTGAACGACAAATGTGCGCATTAAAAATGCTTACTGAACTGCAAAAAATGTGGGAAAATATTTTTAGGATATATACGTAAACACTCAAACAAAAGCAATTCAGAGACTAGGAAAACACAGACAATAATGTGAGATACACAGAAAGAAGAAGCAACAAAGCTTACCCAGGAAAGAAGATCGACTCCACCATGGCAAAGTCTTGCATCAATAAATCACGTTCTGGTTTCGACGCCAAACTGCCAACAGCGTAACCTATGCCTAGTTGAATTGAACCTATAATTTGTGATGTTTGAATCTGAGGAAGAGGGAGGGAAAACAGAAAATGCAGGTCACTGATACTGTAAAAACCACACCGCCAGTCCAATGTTTTCAACATGGTACCTAAACCTTCGTTTACAAGGAACACGTCCGAGCTCCATTATCCTGACACAAGTTAGCTTCACCACATTATTAAAGAGAAAACCAATCTCAGCATAATCTATCACACGATATCCAAGCAATTTAATACTGAAACCAGAAGTCCTACTAGAGTTTATGATTAAGTTGTATATTATATCTGAAATAACCAAGTTGGATAGTTTAGCTGTACAAATAATCTATCCTGGCATTTAAATGAACACAATGTTTGCCGGTTGTACAACAATTTTTCATCAAACAGAACTGCGGCCAATACGAAGAGCTGAGGCAGTTTCTTTTCCAACTAGACTGTAAAATATCTGCCTACAGCTTCTGGACAGGTAAGTGAGTAAACGAAAATGCGCCATCTACTGAAATGTCGCACGACAACATCGAGTTATAGAAGTAGTGCTGCTGAAACAGATGAGCAAAACCACAAAATAAACTAGCTTTTTATAGCTTGAAGAAAAAGCACTAAGTAGCAACTGAAATAGAAAGTGCAGAAAAATAAAAGTAGAACAAAAAAAAAGGAAAATTCCAGTGGCAAAACGCAAAGAGAAAAAATACCCGTGCCTTGAATGAAACATAAGCGGCACGGCCCTCAAGGAACATTTGTCCGGCATGTTAAGATCTATTGGAACTGATACCATCTGTTTGCAGTGATGCCACAAATAAACAGACAAGCTCTCCCAGGAAACTAAACAAGGAAGAAAACACGTATGATAGAGTGCTGCTTAGCAGTGTTGCCATGACATCCATCCTTATTGATTATATTCAACCTACTGGTATACAGTCTACACAGGAACGGCTATAGTAAGCATTAAAAATAGGAACTCCATACTGCTACATGGTCTCGCATTGTACCAGTGGTGCAATCCTGAATAATGGGACAGGAGACGTAACCTTTGACTGCAGACATTTCATTTCGGTAGATTTTTTTTTTTTTTTTTCATTTAGTGCTAGCTACTGTGGACCCTTTCAAAAAAAAAAAAAAAGAATCAAGGTTTTCTTAGACATCAGTGCAAGCTGTTCAAATTTTTTTATCCCACCCAATGCCCATCATTACACAGATACACTTGAAAATATAAACTGATAAAATTTGTATTAGAACAGGACAACACTGATTACATGCTAATCTTGATTGCCTCAAAATACAACTGACCATATTATTCAAGCATGTTCATTTTTTGCGGGTACCACAGCTCCACTCCACAAATAATAAACATTCAAGCTATCAAATATTAAAAAAAAAATTTTTTTCTCGAAGTAGTGCATATAGTGGCCCGGTGACACTGATGTAAAGGCAGGCAAGGAGGATACAATGAACACAATGGGCATCCTTTTTAGCATAAAAATACCAAATTACTATTGCACATTTGAGTGATACAATAGCCTAAACACTGAATTCTTGAAAGATGTAAATAAGGCACTTGTAAAAATACACAAAGGAACAATCATCATTTTGTATTACTTTTGAACTACACTTAACAAGCTCCTTTCTACTCAGTAGACACTGATGTCAGTAATCACAGTGCTATACTAATTGCTTATGCAAGCATTTCATGAATGACAGAGTTGTCACACATAATCATTGATTGAGCTTCACCAGCTAAGAGTACGTGAGAATTCCATTATTTTCTCTACTATGTACATCACTAAATAGTATTACTCCTAAGACTCAGTCTAAATAAAGGCAACAATTTCCTCAGCCAGCAAACTCAGCTGTACTGAACTTACTGAAAAATAGACTAATTAACCTTGCAGAATCAACTGCACACCAGACAAAAAAAAGAAGTCCCCTTTGGAAAATAAAATGCAATATTTTCCCCCGATTTCTCATGTGTTTATCGCCTAAGTGCATGCTCGCAAAGCATGAACTTCCACCCGTAATATTGCGCTTCACAATAAAATAATGCGATATATTTTTAATATTCTATTTCTATCATCTGTGAGAAAGGTTTTATTTTAAGACAAATCAAAGATGGTATTTTTTAAATAGTGATTTTTCAATAGGCTTTACTGTAGATGAATTTGAAAGTTTGAGACCTATTGTAAAAATATGTGTTTAAGGTACAGCTACGGTATTGACAGGCGATATTATAGGTCACCAAGTTATGAAGCACTAGCTGATTTAGCTTAGGAGGGAAAAAAAATCTCGTATCAAGCAACTTTTAAAAAATGTCACCTGTTTAGACATTTTTCAGAAACAGTTTGCTTAAGCATACAAGCTTCCTAACAATGCTGCTTTGCTCTTCATTACGCGTACATTTACCAGAAAAAAAATTGTCTTCACCTAGCTAATATTTGTGTTTTTATATCGTCGTTAACTTTTGAAAAAACAAGGAATGAAATTGGTCCTTATGTACAAAATAAGTTCAATATTTTTTCCCTCCTAAACTATGCAGTTAATAAAAAAACAAAGTTCCTTTTCAGACTGCTGGGTGGTATGTGCACAAAATATAAAATAAACAATCAAATCTAAAATATCAATTTTTCGACCCCTGTCAATCTCTCGTGACATCACCCATGTACATTGGGAAGAGCATATTCAGAACATGTGCGAGAAAATCGCGTGCGGTTGTTATTACCTCATTAAAGCAACACAATATTTCCCTCCAAAAATGCTGCAATCATTTTACTACACATTTTCTCATAGCCATATTGGGTAGTGTTTAGATTCATGGGGCGTGACCTACCAGGCAAACATACAACCTTTACAAAAGTTACAGAAAAGGGTCCTGAAAATGATTAGTAATCAACACAGTAGCAATAATATAGATCATGACATTTTGCAAACACAGCATGTGATATTGGTAAAGGCTTTGTACAATCACAAAATATCAATTCCAGTTAACAATATTATGTGCACAAACTTCCGATTCTTTGTTATATATCTTTCCTTTCAAACACGGAGTATACGACATGCTCTAAAAGACAATTTGAATTTACCAAAGTGTTATGTAAACGGTGAAAAACTAATTGAATTCACAGGAACGTAAATCTGGAATATTTTAGCCCTAGAGGTTAAGATCGCACGCAACTTTAAGCAGTCAAGCAAATAGTTTTTTATTGCGAACCAGGATATCTAACAAACCTATATTGACCACCTAGGTGTACTTTATGAAAAACTTTGTTTATGACAATTATGTTTGTTCTAATTATCATGAGATTGAATTCTGATTTGTTAAAACTTTGCAACTGAACTCCGAATTTGAACACTGGACTGGAAACTAGCCTTCCGTGGCTATCAATCCAGATAATCATAGTATATGCGTGTTTGTGCGAAGAAAAAGAATAGAACGCTTTACTTCAAGAATGCTGCGCTGTGTATACATGTATGCATACACGCACATGCTTACGCAAGCACACACAGTCCTTTTCACATGTGATCTCGGTGTACCCCCCCCCCCCCCAATGCTTTTCAGTTTAGATTCTTGTTTGGTTAAGAAACAAGTTCCATAAAATTTACCACAATAGCCAATCAGTAAAACTAGTGTGCCGTAGTTCACTAGCACGAGTTAGTACCAAATGTGCAGCTTAAACGCAAATAGGGCTACATCTATGGTTTTCATTCCAGATGAACACATGACAATGCCATTTCAGACATTCTACGTCTGTAGCACGTCTCAAATGAAAAAATAAATTCATGTAAGGAGCTGCATTGCTAAGCACTTGTCTCTGACGCCACTTGTGTGGGCACTGTTACTTAGTATTCTCACCGAAAATGGCATGATTTTTTTTTCTTTGTGTGTTTGAACTACTCTGCCCAAGCAAACTTGCGTGGGCAGGGAGTGCCATTTTCGCTGCACAACAGGATGCGCGCTGCAACTTGCCAGAGCACAGCAAAGCACCAAATGGAAGGCACTAGTATGGAAGTTAGTGGTGAAGTAGTGCCGAGCTCGTCTTTAGCCGTTTTTACCATAAGCGTGTGGACTGAGTCCAGCTTGCGCACGACACAAAAGCGGTTAAGCTGACTCGAGAGACTACTTTGGGCACGTTGACGTGAAAAGAAAGAAGTTTACTAAAACGCGCAGGTAGACAAGAACAAGAAGAGGACATGAAAGACATGCCTGCTAACTCGCGACAGTTTACCCTCAACAAGGCAAAGGCATTGCCTCCATCACACATCCCAGCCTGTAGAAAAGTTTTGGTCAGACTGTAATAATGATAGATCTTTGAGAAACAGTGATTAGATGGTTTTGAAAAAAAAATCAAAATGGCACTGATACACCAGTTATTGGAAACTTCTGAGTGAAACTACTCCTAAATATTGCGAGGAGCTACTGCACATGCAATGCAGCTTTTGTCTGTATATGCCATACTGACAGTCGAAGTTCATCATTGAAAAATAGTCCTTGTGCATTTAATGCCATCCTCTTGCCCTTATCAGGTAGTCCAATAAGTGCCAATTGAGATCTGCAAAGCCACTGCAGCAAAAAAAAAAAAAAAAGACAAACAAGTCCATGCCTACCTTTTTATAAGTGATTTGGCCCTCCTCGTCGACACGCCGGTGGCCAATCTTCTTCTCCTTGTCCAGCTTGCTCTTGTAGGCTGAACTGCCAGGCGTTTGCGGCTGCACCGTCGTGGGCGTCTTGTTGTCCGGCTGTTGGTATTGCTGTGCTGCGGTAACCTGCACAAAGATACAGTCACCAAAATAGGAGACGCTGAACATGAATTGCATAAATGACACCAGGCGGCAGCAATTCATTTGAAAGTATACATCGAATGGAAGACTGGCCAAAGCCTGTCTTGCGATTTGTATGTTAGTGTATGGGCGTGTGCGTCTTCTCAAGTTTGCCAAACTGTCGACCTATCAGCCTTCTAAATCAGAGCTTCCTCTAGAGGAAAAGATTATATTTGGGGTTTCACGTGCAAAAATCACATGATCATCAGGCAAGATGCAAAGGAGGGCGCGAAAAATTTCAACCATCTAGTGTTTTCTAGCGTGCACCGACGATGCACAGCAAGCAGGCGTCAAGCATTTGGCTCTATCCAAATGCCACTGCCGTGGCTGGGACCGAACCTGTGACCTTCGTGTGAGCAGCCGCGCACTGTAAGCACTGAAACACCAAGGTAGACGCTTCTACTGGGTTTCCGCGGAAGCACCAATGTACAGGTTACAGAATAGTATGATGCTATGGGTACTGGCAGTTCTCCAAGACAAATACAGGCATGGCTCAATGGTCTTCAAGTATGCTAGGCACGATCTTACATTTGACCTTTCCGTAAAGAGATTTCGCGTAAAGTATTGCAACCTACTGAAAAGCTTTTGAAAATGTGTTTTGAAGGTGCTAGAAATGCAGCAAAACTAAACTTGCAGAAGACACAATTGCTCAGCAACTAAAATGAACATAACCCACCACTACAACTTAGCAAGATTCGTGTGAGCAAGTCGAATCATGATCTAGAGCAAGTTTTTTAGAGCGAGACGGATGAGGGACGAAGATTGGGAAACAGCTATTTGTGAAGAAATTTTTTGTACAAAATTTCAATAGCAGCACAAAATTTTATTTTAAAATTGCTGAGCTATTAAACAAATAGGCAAAGTTCCATTAAATGTAAATTTGAAATTTTATTCTTGTTGACAGATTCTTTGCTGTTTACAATGCACAACACATGATATTGCAATATAACCTTTACGATGTCACAGTTAATAATATTCCTAAAACGTTTATAGCCAAACAAAGTGCTACAGAGATACCAAAAATTAGAGATTTCTCTTTTATTTTGTCAATTTTCTCAGTAGACGACTGCATTTTAAAATGAAATATAACTGATATTGCTGTGATTACTAAGAAAAAATATATCACTTAAATGTAACAGTAATGGTTGTAGTAGCTGCAAAGTCAAAGCTCAGTGATGCCGAGGCCGACATACAGATCTCTCACTTTTCTATGTCATCTTTATGATAATGCACTTTTTAAACAAGCAGAAGTACAGTGCCAAAGTCTGTATCGTGTTAAATATACAAATCCCACCTGCATGAATGGCAACTGAACAAGCTCGGTTATGTAGAAAGGTCTCCATAACTAAAAAATGCATACTTCTTTTTGTCAGTCACATCCACATCCTTGGTCCATGCTTTAGAGTTCGGAACAAAAAAAAACTATAAATTTTGAACACATTTGCCCACAAGCAGTTCCAATGTGTCTGTGCAAGCCAGGCCACAATACTTGTCACCACTAGAGAGTATAAAATACTATTCATTGCTTGAAGTGCATACACAAGATGCACCAGACCGACTGAATGAACAAGTGTTTACAATGAATTCGTGGCCTGTACAGAGTTTATCTTCTATAGCCACGTAAAAGAATATTTGCAAATACTGGATAGCATGGTTTCAACAATGAAACAGAGGACAAGTGTTTGTCCCTTGCATTTGTATTTGTTTCGGTCCTATGAACTGCACTCTCTGCTATTTAAACACATGAACAAATTACCTGGCATCGAATTTTGTTAAGTAATACAATACGCTTATAAATAGTCAACAGGTTGCTTCATATATACTTCTGCATCCCTTGCAAACCAACCAGTGAAGTCTACAACAATACTTAACAAGTTAGTTAGCCTTAGCAGATGCCCAACACAATCATCACGGCTAGGACAAACGCTTATCTCTAATATCTTAACGTATATCCACAACTATGCTTAGGAAGCTCATCTTACAACATCAAATAATCTGCTAAAACATACTGCATTTCCCCTCTTTGGGGCTCTTTCTATTGCTTTTACAAACTATCAGTTATCTTGCTCATTTACACTTCTCCATTAAGTGCTATCATTTACGAGGACTTAGTTTCCACTCCATACCAAAGTTTTCCTATTGCCCAATGTTGGTGTGTCATCTTTCCTTCTGCAACTCGCTGCAAAGAACTAAAGATGGAAATGGAGAACTAATTACTAAAGCTACATTCATCACGTAGTGACAGACACTTGACAGTGCCCCCTTGGCAGATGAGATAGCAAGGGTCAATGTGAGCAGAGTTTCACAGCAATGTAATGCCACAGTTTTACTGCCATGTAATGTGTTCAAAAGTCAGAGAATGTCGTACTTGATGGACGACATTGATTTTGAAGTGTTTGAGGTCTTGAAAAGCCTGACTACATCTGGCAAGAAAAAAAAAATGAACAGCACAAGCTCACAGGCCATAATAAACCATATTAGAGGGTACATCAAGTGATAACTTTTGAGGGATGGAGCATTCTGCCTCAGAGGCTTCTATGGAATGGCAAAAATATGCACACACAATTAATATGACTGTTGAAATTACACTGCCTTCAAAATTCTCTGCATGCAGAACTTAACAGAAGGTACCTTTACAACATTGACCTCATTTTACAAATGTTAAAAATAGAAAGACCAGAATGTAAAATAAAATAAAAAAGCTCACAAAGCAAGCGAATTGGAAATAACTCTATTAGAAAAAAAAAGGTCACTCGAGAAACATGAGTGACATGACACCACCAGCTGTGAGCAAGCGAAAGAGATGTCAGAAAAAAATGTGTCTCCTAAAATTTATAGCCTCATAAAGAAAGTTCAGAATGAATGGAAGCAAGATATTTGACAATTCCAATTTCAGTGAAATGAAAACACAAGAATAACTATACAACATTATTTTATGAAGGTTAGAGCTTATTATAAGGCATGGCTACAAAGGACATAGAAAAAAACCTTTGCAGAATGCCTGTCTGCAGCACACACCATAATCGTTACAGGTAAACTGCTGTATTGAGGGGCCTCCAAGCAAAAAAATTATATTAATGTTTAAAGTATTAACAGTATCATCACCGAAAGCTTGCAAAATAGCTGTTTTGAATACTGAAATAGAATAAAAAATTGACTGGCAGTAATCATCATCGATAAAAAAAACAGTATAAAAGCGACTTGACAACACCCAGCTAGTGCCATGGAAGTGAGTCAAGTGTCTCAATGCCCTTGTTTGATGAAGGAAGTTCTTCAGTAAATTATCAATACTTTGAAAAATGACCCAAGCATTCTAATCCTTGAAAGCTTGAATAATGAACATATTGAAAGGTGTTCTGCTCTGCCTGTTAAGGAGTGCACCCATGGCACGGTGGTAATAGCATTGAGCTACTGTAAAAAATGACTTCATTGCATGGCATTGATCGATGCCATCATCACCTGACCTAATTCTAAAAACAAGCACAGTCGACCTTGAACCGTAACAGTTCAGTGGTGGAGGTGCTAGGCATCGATCGCAACGCATTTTCCTGCAACACCGTACGAACACTGCCATAAATGTTCACCAGAAGTGAAACATGATAAGGGCACACATCACTTTCAGCACCTCTGAGATAAAGTGGTGCTGAAACACTTCAGAGGTGTCATGCCTAAACTCAAGCTATGGTAACACTGACCATGCATACTACTTGGTCAATATTTCTTTATGATCGAGGAAAAGCCTGCCATCTTATGGGCTGCTTGCACGTATACACGTGCGAACAGGTCTATACATACGCATGCATATTCTTAATCACCAACCGAAGAAAGCCGAGCACAGCCTTAAATTTTCATAGAGGGGTTAAGTAGGAATGCACACATAGGGCGTAAACAACGCTATACTGTAAATTACCATGGTGATGCTTACATTTTGAACCTCAGTTTGGTGGCTACCTAAAAATAGTGTGCATGCATACATGAGTGTTTTGGTGATTTTGGAAGATTTTAACAATGCAGTGGTTGCAACAGACTATCGGTGATTTAGGTAAAAATATTTCCTCTCATAATAGCACAAATGCCAGCCTGATGATCACTGATACACAGTCGCTCTGCAAAATAATTGAAATGCTGTGACATAGGGGACTCAGTATCTTGCACACATGATCGGAGAGACTGTAATTTCTGTCCAGAATGACTGAATGCTGTGCCGATATATGAATTTTATATTAGAGTGCAGACTCAGTGTTCGAGATGAAGTGATAAGATCTAAGATATTTGAAAAAGTCACACAAAGCAGGACAACCAAGTATGGTTTCTGTATCTTGAACTGAGTGCTTACGTTGACATTACGCTATAGGCTGCTTACAGTTCTCAGCAGATACTGTACGTAGCCATGGAATGAAGCTATAGAGTAGTGCCAAAATGAAGCATCAAGCCTTCAATTTTAACAACTGGTATAGGCTACAGCTCCAAATGACCATACAGTGTGTCTTCGAATGAGAGTGTTAAAGGTGATCGTTCCTGTGGTATAAGGGCACGAGCCAACACTATTCCGATTTGACACGAATTTGATGTAATGGAAGTGAAAGTATGTGCTTCACTTAGTGTTAAATAAACGTGTTTCATTCCTTGAGCAATGCAGACCTTTAATAACCCTAGTAAAGTGCTTGCGTATACATAAAAAATGGCATGACCCCATGCCTTGACAGAAGGTCACGTTAATTGTGTATAGTTGAATACTGGTTATGACCAACGATTATGGGCTGCCATGTCAGTGAGAGCTGATGATGTACTAGATGCACTGCTTTGGAGACTAACAATGCAGCACCAATGATGAATAATGTGCAGCAGTCAAACGTGATGGCAGTAAAACACATTACCATACGATTTATCCCCACAGCACAGAATCTCATCACGAGGCCCCCAATTCTGCTTGAACCTTGATATACGATTCGAGAAGAAAAACATTGTACACTTGCACGCGCTAAGTGCACAGAGTGTATCACGTAGGCCCATTCGTTCTGCCTGCATCTGGTTCTCTACGAGTCTTGCTGACATGTCACCTCTCTGCATTACTCATCATTGTAAATTTCTAGCAGGAAATTCCATATCCAAGTTATAAAAAGGTATCTTGTGGCAGCAGCTGAGATCTTGGCATTCACAAAATAACACCTTACGGGCATACTGTACTAGGACAGTGGCCGAGCCAGAGAAACGAGTGAAACATGATCAGCAGCTTTTACATTATTATGGGCGGTGCACACATTTCTCGTGTTCATTTTTATAGACTATGCTAGTATGTGCCCAGACAAGAAGCAAGCAATGCGACACTGAAATATATTTTTCAGAAACTCCATGAAGTATGATACACATTGGATGCTACTGCAAAACTCACTATAGGTATGGGTGTGTGTATCTCTTTTACTCACATCAATAGGCGGTGGCTTCGGTTTTGGTGCCCGTTCTGTGACTGAAAAGGAAGAAAGTAAACAGCGATTAGTCAAGGTCACATCAGCAAAGCGGTACTTTAACCGGCGAAGCCATAATTTTTACAACAGGCAAATCGCAACTTTATGTTAATCGGCACATTTTTTTTTTTTTTCATTAGGCGCAAGGGGTGCTTCGACACCTACCTGGTCTGCCCATTGTGCGAGATGTACTCTATGTGCGAGAAAGAAAACGGCCGAACCCTCAAAGGCGAAGTTACTTCACGTTACACACGCTCCTAGATCATTGTGTAATGTCCGATAAACAAAACGTACTACGCTAAGTTGCAAACCATCGGAACAGCACATCAATTTTCACGGAGCCCTCGAAAGGGGCACAGCTAGAGAATTGTTCACTCCGATAAAAAAACCTCTCGCGGAACGACCCTCTATATCACAATAGTGTTCTCCGGTATCCTCGAACGCACTTGTTTATCGGCTAATGCGACTCTTGTTCGTCTAGTAGTCGGTGTCAAAGCACTCGGCCTACGGAATGCGCCTGCCCTGCGAAGCGCGTGAAGGAAACAAAATTCCACAGGTTAACTCGTTTCTCACAGAGGCGGTAGCCAAGAACAAGCATCATTTGTTTCAAACAGTTATCCAAAACGGTCCAAGATCGACCGAGAGATGGGCTTTTGGGAACTAGTAACTCATGCACCCGAAGCGAAGTGCTCGTCACTTTCACGCATAGCGATTGCATAGGCTTACGGTACAGCGATTTACGCCGCGTTGGCCCGGCAGAAAGCGCGCTCCCTGGCACTGCAAACAGGGAGGTGTCAGCTACGCGGGAAGTTGCATCTGATCGGCAGGTCAGACGATAGGTTCCCCGCTGTGCTTGCATCAGAGTCGCGACCGTGACTTCGAATGCCCTATTTAACGAGTCGCGGAATGCGGCTCTGCAGGAAGCTTCGAAACCCGCGTCTGGTGACCGGCCCGTTAGAGCACTGGGTTTCATGGGCGTGCGAGGGGGAACGGTTCACACCGGCGAGTTACGAGCAACACTTAAGCGATCAGACCCATGCGGAGCCCGCAGGGGACAGCTTTCGAGGAAGGCGTTTCCGGATTCTCGACAGGCGTCGGGGGCGCCAGCGAGACGCGATCGTGAGCGATGGGCGTGACAGCACGGGGACACGTACCCGTGGTCTCCCGTTCTTCCAGCGCGTTCGTGCTATACACAACCACCGAATCGGTGTCCGGCGCAGCAGCCGGGGGCAATTGAGTCTCGGAGGCCATCTTGATTTTTCTGTCAATTCCAGCCGCGGCCGGGAGATATCACTCGCCGGGGATGAATCACTCCAGGACCCGCATAGTGGGTCCACGCAGCACGACAGCACGCCGTCGCACGAGTCACATCCGAAGCAACCACACGCGGCTCAGGTGTTATCGGGCATCTGGCTGTCGTTTTTCGTCGCACATAAACAAACAGAAGCACTTACGGACACACACACACTCAATAGGCCTAACTGTCGAGCTTTCTGCGGTTGTTCCGATGCGACGGTGCTGCCATCTCTGAATTGCGCTCTCCGTTCGGAGGCGCCACCGATGACCAATGTAGATGTAGATCCTAAACTTGTGGCTCACACTCACCCTAGGGGATCGGGCAAGAATCGGGTAGCTTAACAAAAACAATAAATAAGAAATGCATATATTCAAATACTGGCGAAACATTAACAGAAATATTGATTTTTAAAAATTATTCTTGAGAAAAAGTTTAGACGAATTAATTCCTACTGAATGAGCAAGAAATGATTGATATCAAAGAAAATGTTTCTATAGCCTACATTGGTTAGCTGAGAACCTTTGGGTATTGAGGTTATTAAGTAAATATTTTAGACTGTATAATGAAATCTTGCACGGTCTCGCACACTTTCCCGTTACTGTCCCCTGGGGTATGTGCACCTGGGGATAGTAAATTTGACGTTGTCAAAGCTAAGCCAAGGGTTCGTAACGGTATTTCTAGTGCTACCCTTCTTAATGTTGAAAACTTTCTACAAGAGATCAAAAAGTGCTCCACAGTTTCCTCCTCTCGACAAAAAGAACAAAGTGGGGAGGGAGTCAAGCCTGCTCTAAACAAATAAAAAATTTAATGGAAGAATACGACAGCGTAATCGAGTGATTAAAACTTCCAGGCGTCGGTTATGACATGAGGAAGTTTTCCGGGGTGTCATTAGATGGTTGAAATCCAGAGAATTTTTTAAAGATGGTGTAGAGAATTCTCGCATCATCATTTGCCTCCGAAGTCTAGAAGCTGCTATAAAGGCCGTTGTAGGGGTAATATTGATAGCTCGTTCGTCTAACGCCACTTTCGCTAGGGCATCAGCTGTTCATTTAGAGTTATGCCCCAGAACCCATACTAATTGCACCTCGGTTAAGCGATTCGATACTAGGGTGTTGAATTCACCTAATGCTTTCGAATCACCGGATGCCGTGAGCGCATCCGAGACCGACAAGGAGTCTGTTATTATTACGGCGGAATTCATTGATGTTGGCAGCTTTCGAAGGGCCAATACTACAGCTAAAAACTCTGCGTTAAAGATAGGTGTGTAATCTGGGATTCAGAGGGAAAAGGACCAGTCTAGAACAGGGCAGAATATGCCGATGCCACTCTTTTCATCTCTTTGTGAAGCGCACGTCGCAATGATGACATGTGTTTGCATTCCTAGCAGGTAGCCCTGTAAAGTAGCTCTTAACAAATTACTCGGCAGGTGCTTAGCACTATTAGAAAAAATGTCATCAAAGTATATTTGGAGAGCTACAAATCGGCATAACATCCCTAATTTGCGCGGACAGTGGGTCGAGAAGAGACTGTACAAACTTCACTTGAGGTGTGTTAAATCTAGGCCAATGACCATCAAAAAATAAACCAGGTTGCGTAATAAAAACTGTTTCAGTACGCCTTAAAGGAGATTCAAATGCCCTTAAGTACGTCTGTACAGTCAATATTGTAAATATAGTAAGGAGTGAGGGAATTCTAGCTTCCATTATAAAACTTTATTCGCTACAAGTTTTGGTCGCCCTAAGCACATGCGCAGTGCCTGCTTCTCCAGAAGAACAAGAGGGCGCAGCTTATAGGCAGGTTCCCCGGAGTGTCAGACACATCCAAATTACAGAACCGGCCTCACATACATGTGGTATATTGATAATAGCGTGGCTCTGCACATTTCTGATCTCCTGTTGCTTATCCTCCGTAATAAGCCGACTGCCCGAACTATCTTTGCAGCAATATTTTCGATGTGGTTTCGCCATACTAGAGAGCTGTCGTATATCACTCCCAAATATTTGATGTTCTGAACTTGTGGAAGGGTATTAGTTTTGTATGAGAGATATATATGTACTGGGAGGATATATATGTACTGTATGAGAGATATACATGTACGGAAATACTAATAATGCGCACTTGTTGACGTTGGGATATAAACGAATAATGTCGAGCCAGTGCCCTATTTATGATAGGTACATTTAGAGGTTTTGATAGAGGGCGTGACTGTCATGAGCTGACAAAAAAAAAAAAAAACGTGATATTATCAGAATATACATACGTCTGAACATTCTCTTTACATGGGATCGAGCTTATTAAAATATTGAATAGTACCGGAGACAGAACAGCGCCATGGGAAACTCATTTTTCCTGTTTATAAGTATTGACGTTAATACCATCTTGCGAACAGTAAAATGTTCTATTTCCTAAAAATTTGTAATTCCCGCTTCTCAATAATTCGGCAAATTGATGTCTCTCAGACGACTGACTAGTACACTATGCTCGACACTATCATACGCTTTTGTTATATCCAGGGTAACTAGAGCTGCAATAAGTTAGTAATCAGTTAGTAAACGCGTGTGTTTACTAGTTTCCGGAGTCTTTTACTACCTTCGTGGAGTAATTTTACTAGCCACCAGCTTGTACAGCTTAGCCGTTACTAACCAGGGAACCTTTCTTAGTGTTTTTAACTAAGCAACTACTAATATGTTGCCGGATCTTTCGTTGATTCCGCAGTATATTTTGCCGCAATGGTGACATCGTAAGCAATATTTAGGCAAGCTCTAATTTTATTGACTACCTCGTAATAGAAGTTTCTTGGTGCGTGATGGCACACACATATGTAAATAGAAGGGGACATGATGATGCATAGAAAACAACAATTATCTTATAAACTCTGTGCTAACCAGTACACGGTGTATGGTCCCAAAGGAGGGGTATATACAGTCTTCCAGCTGCTGCTACAGTATAATTGTGCTATGTCCAAGTCTTGAAGATTTACTTGTGCATGTGTTCTCGTGATCCGCTCATATGAGTTCTCATACTCATATGAGCATATAATCATTTGAGTATGAAAATTATATGCTCATATGGACTCATATGAGCTTGACATATGCTCACATGAGTCCATATGAGCATATGAGATTCACATATGATCATACATATGTGAATCTGATCTGATCATATGATCATGTCGCCAATTCTCTATAAGTATGTTGCTGTGATGCGCACTTACCCCAGTATAGTTACATGACGTAGTTGAAAGCCACTAATAATTTACGAGGGCCATTGCAATTCGTTTTTTTATCTTATACTTTTGTAATGGAATCGTGATGTGGCCACTCACACGAACATTTTACAAAATAGGCGGAAACCTCAACTTGCGGGGGTTACTAACAATTTAGCAATGAACTAACCACTCGAGTCAGCGCTATTCACTCACTAACTAGGTAGTAATTTTAACCACCCAACGACGTAGTGCTTTTAACCAGCCTGTTAGTAATTGGGCTAGTGTTTGTTACGAGCACAACGAGGTAGTGCCTTTCACTGCGGTTACTTTTACTAGCTGGTTGGTGGATTCTGCGACAAGTAACGGGCTAGTACATAGTCAATATACCAACCTATTTTCTAAGAGTGTGCGTACTGCTCTTGAAACCGCGCCAGTTGTATGCGACTCTTTAGGTCGATGTGCGCTTGCCATATGGAACATCTCTGCCTGAATCCAATTTAACATAGGCGAACAACCCTTTCTCTGTCTACAAACTTCATTATGCGAACGTGTGCTACTCTTTATCATCATTACTTTGACTAAATTGGACGTTAGTGCAGCTGGCCCGATATTGTTCAAAACGTAACCTTCACCTGGTTTTTTTGAACAGGTATGATTTTCGCGATTTTACATTCAGATGGAATCCAAGCTTCTCTTATTGTATAATTTATTACATTAAGTATATCCTCCCGTGACTCATTGAATAAAATTTTCAGCAATGCTGAAGTGACTTCATCCGGGCCTGGAGCCGCCGTCGGAAGTTTTCTCATAGCCTCTGACACTTCCTCAATCGATATTTCGGTGAAGCTGTCACTTGATCACGAGATTACTGAAGGGGAATGAATATTGGTCGAAAATCGCTTTTCCACACCTTGAGCTATGCTTTCCAATGACTGCTTCAATTCCCGAGGCGATAAAACTATAGACTCAGGATTTACTGCTTGAGGAATTAGTTTCTTATGTCTCAGATATCCAAATAGAGCTATTTTGTTATTGGATTTCGAAAGAAATTCAAAATGCCTTTCATCATTCTCTGCCTTTGCTTTAGCCATCGTATGTTTAAAAGTACCTGCAATGAATTTATAATCTGACCAGTTTTTTGGACACTGATTGTGTAACAGCTTATTCCAGGCAGCTTTTCTACGCCTTAAATACCGAGTACAGTTATCATTCCACCATCGCGACACAGGTTTTTGTTCAACTGATTGAAGCTCAAATTCTGCTTTGCCATGCGACTCCTGTATAACTGAACAAATTCTCAATGCTTTTTGCTTTACCGTTGCTTCTGACAGAGACTCTATGAAATCTCGCAAGCTCCTTTTAAAAAATACTGTAATTTATGCACGTGAGTCTTCTAGAAGGAACATATATTAGTGGGCATACGATGTCAAATATCACTGGAATGTCATCGCTATTAGTCGCAGTGTCAACAGTCGACCAAGATGATATGCAAAGGCCTGATACCTAAGTTATGACAAGTGAGACTATTACCCTAAGACCAGTCCCATAATTGAGTACCACACCAGTCTGTTTTTAAGCCCCAAGTTATGTGATGGGAGTTGAAGTCTCCCGCCAATAGGGCATGATTACCGCTAATAGAAATTACACTATCCAAAAGAGTTGTGTCATGAACCCCTGATGGATAATATATATTTGCTGTGTGAAGTGTTCTACATGAAGGACGACTAAAAGAAATTACTAAAATTT